AACCTTCCTTCTGAGGAGTGGCTGGTGGGTTTGAACCGCCAGCCTTCTGGTTAGCAGTCAAGTGCCTTAGCCACTATGCTACCAGAGCTCCTAAATCCTGTGCAACAAGTATTTATTGGCTACCTGCTATGTGTCAGGAACTGTTCTAGGTGAAAAATCAATAAAAGTCTTTACTGGTAGAGCTTATATTCTAGTTAGACACATAAATCAATTTGTATATACTACTATGTCAGACAATGATATATACTATAAAAAAAAAAATAAAGCAGGATAAGAAGATAGAGAAGGGTGGAGTGAGAAGCTATTTAACCCAGTTGGTCAGGATGGGTTTTTGAGAAGGTAAACGGAGCAAAGGCCTAAATAAAGGACTAAGAGAACTGTCCAAATACCGGGGGAAGGTGCCTTCAGGTGGAGAAGCAGCAAATGTAAAGGCCTCAGACAGTAACAGTCTAGTCCTGTACTAGGAAGAGCAAGGGGTATGAGACACAGTCAGTGAGGAGGTGAGTGGTAAGAAATAAAGTTAGAGGTAGTGAGGGCTTTTTCATAGGGCCTGGGTGGCCATGGTACTGACTTTGGATTTTATTTTAAGTAGGAAGGGAAGTCATTGGAGGTTGAAGGCAAGATAGTGATTTAATCTGATTGACATTTAAAGAAACATTACGGCTTCTGGTGTATGTACGATTATTTTCCCCTCTTGCTTGGTTCACTGGAGTCTGTCAACCCTTACTAGAAGCTTCATGAAGTAAATTGAAACCACCAGTTACAAGGTTTGTTAAACACATGATACATTTGTCAGTTGAGGTGATCCTTTGGCTGCATCCAGACAGTTCTATGTTAGATTACCTTTAAAGACACATTCCCTGTTCTTCTTGCCTTAAATCTTAAATTTTTCTAGTAATGGCTTTCTTTAAAGCACATTTTTCTCATATTGCTTCCCTGCTCAAAACTCACAGTAATTATCAATTGCCTGCAAAACATAGGTTCCAAACTGCCACCTTCTATCTAAGTGCTGTTCCCAACTATTGCTGTCAGTAACTAGGTCTGCCAGACATAGTTTTCAGTACAAAACATGATGTACTTGTATACTTAATGTAAAATTTCTTTTATTAAATTCACCAAACATTTTGTCAGACAACTCTTCCCAGGTATATGAAAATATCAAATTAACAACAACGAAAAAAACATAAAGGAATGTTAGTATAGGCCTGGCGATCTGCTTTTGTTGTGATTACAATCAAGAAAACCCTACAGCTACTCTAACACATGGAGTCGCCATGAGTCAGAATTGACTCTAAGGCAACTAACAACAATAATAGTAATAGATGACAGTTTATAGTACTTGTCTGACCTCTCAGCAAAGGAAAGGATATTAATCAAAACTTGATGGTGATGCTCACCTCATCTAGAGCAAAGAACAATGAATAAAACCAAAGATGCATGGAAACCATTAGTCCAAGGGACTGGTACACCATGCAATCCTCAGTCTATATGACCATGAGACCAGAAGAACTAGATGGTGCCCGGCTACCACTGTCAACCACTTGGAGGGGGATTGGTGCAGAAGATCCAACATAAAGTGGGCAAACAATGTAGAACAAAACTAAAAATCATTAAAAAAAAAAAAAAAAAAGACCAGGTTTGCTGGTTTGATAGAGCCTGGTAAGACCCTGAGACTATGGCCCCTAGTTACCCTTCAGGTCTGGAACTATCTCCTGTGGCTTCCAGCCAAACAGACAGGCAGGCATATGGGATGAACATTCACATCAGGTAGATACACTCCTTGGAACAATCAATCATGGGAGAACAGAAGGGCAATGTTTGTACCAGGAAATGTTTTGAGGGGGGCTGGTAGTGCATGGGAGGGAAGGGTAACTATGGGGAGGAAGTAGGAAGAGAGCCATTACATTGTGGGGAATTATAGTCAATGTCCTGAAACAAAGTGCATATGAACTACTATATAGAAAATGAATTTGCTCTATAAACTCACCCAAATCTCTCTCTGTCTGTCTGTCTGTCTGTCTCTCTCTCTCTCTC